CCCCCCCCCCTCGATTCCGCTACTGCTGGCCACAAGTGGAGTCTGACAGTTGACACACGTAGACACACATGCACAGATAAAGGCAAATCGCACTGTTTGCTAATTTTAACCAAACAGCTTTCTCCTCTTCTTTTAAAATAAAATAATGTTGTGATGATATGTATGCTTTTGTAAACCGACTCATAGTTCTATGATATTATCTCATATTACAAAAAAGGTGTCTCTCTTCTCCATCATTTGTATAGTTCGATTATAAAATCGTGACAACGGATTTTATTGCGGACTTTGCACCCACAGGAGCATAAAACGCTGATACAAGAAGGCATCACCTCAACGTTCAGCTCAGTCACTTCCAGTGTCTAAATGTTATTAAACGTAAGCAAAAAAATACATCGACTAGAGATGAAAACCGGAAATGCGATTTCCGGAAGAGGCGTGCGTGTCGCGCGCGGTCGCGCCTTCGTCACGCCATCGCTTTTCAAATGCCCTATATATTCACAGTATGAAAATGATAATGGAAACGATCTTACCATATACTCACCAGAAAAGCTCTTCTTTAAATTTTAATCTTGTTCACAGTTATGGTTTTTTCATGGTGTGCGCAGGTAGTTCGTTTTTACGAAGCTTCAGTTCACTCGCTTGAATTTTAACACGTTTACGACAGCATGCATATGTGAATATGCACGCGCCAAATGCGCAAAAAATGTTATTGGGAGTTGGCTGTCACAATGGCTTGGTGTCAACATGCTAAATATCGTCTGTTATAATGGAATGCATTTTAAGAACATTTAGCAAGAACTTTTAGGTTCATGGAAGGTGAAGAAATTTTGCAATTGCTGAGCTTTAGCAACTTATTACTAGCATTTCATCCCAGAAGTTGACAGATATGCTAGGAATTGATAGATACGAGAGAAGCACTGGTATGCTTGCCACAAACCAAGACCTATAACGGGCTAAGGGTTGTTTACGTGTTTTTGTGTGTGTGTGTGTCTGTGTGTCTGTGTGTCTGTGTGTGTGTCCGTCTGTTACGAAATTCGTAGAGCGTGTTCCAGCCAGCATCCTAAGCCCAAATCATGCTACCTTCATGAAAGTCCAACATGCAAAAGCACGAGTAGATTCGTTGAGTGGATCCTTCAGAAATTGCGCGCCAAACGGGTCCACCTGGCTTCTGTGCCGCAAAAATGTGTCCTTATCACTACTTTTTGCAAAGTCGAGGATGTGGTTGAAAGTAAAAGTGCAGGTGATGGACTTTAGCCCGAAAACTGGTCAAAAGTTTACTACATAACGAAAACGGCGCCAAAAAGAATTGATTGCGTAAATGGTCAATTTGCCAAGGTTCTAGCCAAGCATTTGAGAAGATTTTCGCACAAAGATGTAGCTCACGATTATTATTGCCTTTATGGCGACTACCAAGCCATGACAACTTCAAAAACCTACTCAAATTTACGTTTGTCTCCCTGCTAAAAGTTTCATCCACGTTAAATCAGCGATCTCACGTGAAAAAACTTTTTAAATGAGTAGTTGTTTACATTTTATTCGTGGTAGTCGGCAGAGCGCGGGTTCCATGAGTTCCAGTGCCTCGATTTCACGAGAATGAGTAAGGCACACAGATCAGAGCCAGTGCGAGCCTCTGCGAAGCAAAGGAGGTGATGCACTAGTTATAAATAAGTTCAATCAATGAAGTTTACACTCTATAACATCGTCCTTACTTCACTGTAAAAAGATACGTCTGGCTCATACTGAGCACAAAAGCAACGGCCTTCTTCATTGATTAAAGAGCAGGCAATGAACTCGTGCGCCTTTTAGGGTTTCAAGTCATAAACACTGCTATCAAAGATTGTCAAAACAAGTAAAAAGTCAAAGCAGATTTGCATAAGAAAAAGAGGTTATGAAAGGGAAGTCTTCGAGGTGAAAGAATGGGACAACTCATTTAATTATTTGTTGTAAACGAGCTGCTTATGATGCATTCTTTCTTTTGAGCTATTTATAGTGCAGATTTGCATATCTTTGAGAATCATTTGCCATTAAAAGAATGCTTTTTGTTATGGGATTTTGCCGCCATTATATAAAGACGGGGTTTTGACATCAAATCATAGCCCTTTCTTCTTTCTATAGTTATAATATGCTTGCCTCTCACAGCAAGCAATCATTTTTGCTTCTTTCCCAATCATCGTATTCATATAGTTTTCAGTGCCCAGAGGGCTATGGAAAAACATTTTGTTTTGAAGAAATATAGTAGGGACTTAGGGACTTTGGGGACATTGGGATGGTAGGGTTTCAAGTTATTGGGGTTCATATTTTGCCTCAAAAAGAAAGCCGAAGAATTCAATTTTACATCAAAGTAATCGGTGGTGCTATTCTAAGAAGGAATTTGCGCTATAAAATAATGCTTTTTTATAAGTATGCTTGCTAGGTACACAGTGCCAATGAATTTTTTTAAATGTTAAAATGTAATTGCACGTTGTAAAAGTTGGTAATTAATAGCTGGTAAAGGATTGTGTAATGCGTGCGTGAAACATTGCGACACAGATTTCCAGATTTTTTGGTTTGTATCGGATAACTTACCTCAGTCTACTAAGATGTCTTTACAGTGATTCTACAGTAATGTAAAGTATTCAGTGGACTGTTCATATTGTAGACCTAGGTTGAAGCCCGCTCTACTTGAGAGTCGGTAAAAGATCCGTAGGAAGAGGGATTTTTAAAATCAAACAGTGATAAATACTTTTGGTACAAGGGCAAAACGAGCGAAACACACCAAGGCTACTAGGAATCTCCGAAATAATTTGAGACACTTTTCACACTTCAAACGTAATAGCAGCCACAATCCCGAGGAAAAAAATTCGTGCAGAGCCAATTCAAATATAAAATCTATTCTCATGACATCATTGCGAAATCTATAAAGGAAAGTATTTGCATGATTTCATGTGCATGCAATGGATATGAAGATATAAAAATTATGCCAAATTGCGCCGCGGTCGTTCTTATACGAAATCGCACCATCAAACCTAAGACCTAAGGCATACCTCACGCGATTTTAGTCGCCGCGCGATTTGGCACTGCAACGACTCTCCATAGCTGGTCGTAAACGCACTTTGCCTGGGCCAGACTTGCTGTGTTTGTTACAATTTACGGAATCTACGCACCCATGCATCTGAGAGCCTCGCATGCTTAATCTCTAGACATCTGGCAAATCGCCAAGTAGCGAGGATGTGGCGATTTCGCGAAATCGCGAGAGGTTTGCCTTAAGCCTAAGGCCATAGGCTGCTTTCCGCTGTGACATCCTTGGTTTTTGCACTCATTGTAAAGTATGCTTATTATCCGCCATCAAGCCATCTCTACAGATTCATGCAAGTCTTAGCAGTAGCCTCATGGAGTCAGAAGGATGCAACGTCTCGATACAAGGCATCTAGACACACGTTTTGTCGTTCCACGGCCTTCTCATGTCCCCTGATTCCGAATATGAACACGAAAATCAGCGAAAACTTCGACATTCTCGTTCAGAGTAGCCCGCGAGGCGCTACCGAACCGTGATTGGCTGGGCGAGCAAGATGGGCGGGCATTACTGAAGGGGCGGTGCTGACTTGGGGTCCTTGTGCCTCTTCACTATACCAAAGCGAAAATTTACGCCGCGACTGGGCATTTGTTTGATAGGGAATCCGGGTGGAGGGACGAACACCTCAATTAGGCCCGTCTCCGCGGACTACTGGTCCCAACACGATACACAACAGTAGGACGAAAAGGACCAGCAGCCCGCGGATGCGATGCCTAATTGAGGCGTTCGTTCCTCTACCCAGGGAATCCTACTACCGTATGCTGCCAAAAGCTCAAGATCCTTGAGATAGGGTAGACTGTGCCTTTGAGCGGTTTGGAAAATTGGGAGAGAAAAGCTAGCAAGAGTTCTTAGATCTACGAGGTAGGGAGTTACGTTTTTGCCAAAGGAAGACAGATTTCGGGGATGGACTGCAAACTAGAGAAGAAGAGGGAATATTGGTTTGGGAAAGGGAGGCTTTCAGGACAACTTTGGGGGGGATGGATCAGGAAAAAGTCTTTCCATAACTGAATTTACTTCGGTCACTTCCATTAGGCCAATGGAGGAAGAAGCACGCAGAGGCCTCGCAATCAGTTATTTTGTATAAACAGGAAAACACAACTAGGCATAAATAAGTAATCGTTCAAAAAATGTCTTTTACATCAGTTGAGAGGACGAATTGAGCTGTGGGTATGGTGCTTTAAGCTCGATTTTCTTCTTTATACATAGAGCTGAATGTCTGTTCTAGACTACTTCGTTATCGATCAACATCGATTTTATCGATTTTTACAAATTTTGAAGTATGGGGCTGGGAGTTGCCACCGGGATAAGTGAGGATGCTGATTACGCTTTTCTTCCGGTATTTGAACTGAAAGAAGAGAGGATCCTGTCCTACCTGCAGTCACGCTTGGAAATGTCATAATGCAATAATTATATACTAGCTGGCTTGCCCGGCTCCTCTCGGCCCTGTCGAAACACTATGATGCAGCTCTCATTCGTATCCCTGTACAACCTTTCCTTGTGCCCCGTCTACATGTCATTTCCCCATTCCCGCTGTTTTAGTAAACAGCATGCTCGACCCCCGTGCCAACTCCTAGCGTAGCTTAAGCTTTGCAAAAAATCGATAAAACCGATAAAAGTAACGGCTAATTCCAAAAACTAATATTCTATTCGTGATCAGCACGCTCGATTACCCCCTGTGCCGACTCCCAGCCCTGTAGCTCAAACTTTGCAAAATTCGATAAAATCGATTTCGATCGAGGACGAAAAGTGGCCTATGACACACGCCCGGCCCCGAAGTTATGTGTGCAAAGTTTGGTCCAGATCGGTTCAGAAATGGAATCTTCTATTCGGAACATACGTACAACAGACAGACAGACAGACATACAGACAGACAAACAGACATTCAGCTTTATTTATAAGATTCTATCTGGGATTGATCCCTTTAGCAAGAAATCGCACAGAAAATAAAGTTTCAGACTCAGAAAAGCCGTGGTCAACTTTTGTCAAGATGCTAATCATAATCGCGGTATGTTTGTCTTCTTTTTTTTAGTATTCAATAAAATGGCATCTTGTTTGTGTTCAGGCATTAATAGCGCAACATATATCTCAAACTCAAGGTAAGCTGCTTGGAAATCTTCAGTTCTCCTATGCGCACATCGTCAGCTGAGCACAATAAACGATTCAGGAGAATGCTATAACAAAACCATTGAAGACAACGTGACAGAGTTTCATAATGAGTTGAGATGGGATTTAGCTACCAAAAATATGAGCGCTAAATACGGAGACATACCAGGCTCAAAAAGTTTGTTCAAATTGGTAAGTGATTCACTAAACGTCAAACAATACCAAACAGCGGCTGGTAAGGCTGCGTGCATGCTTGCATGTGCCAACGCCGTTCCAGTGCTGTGCCAGCGCGGTTACAATGTTGTGCTAATACAGAAGGTCGAGTTGTAAAAACATGGCGCGTTTGTATGGGTTTCAGCACGGTGCCAGCACACCATTAGCACAGCCTGTCATGGCGCTGGAACGGCGCTGGCCAAGCCTGACATACCGACCCTCTTGGCCCGTCTAGGCAATGGGTATAAAGGAATGGACTACCCTTTGATTCAACTGGCTTGGCGGCTCGAAAGCGGGGTTTCATGACCTAAAGAAGACTAGGTAATGATCAGATAGCATGAGCGCGGAAGAGACGCAGACTACATTGCGGGCGCGAGTGGCCTTAATTGAGTCACAAAGCCTCGCCTTCCAGCCGCCAAGCCTGTTGAACCGGAAGTTAAGTAAATCATTGTGTGGATTTCGAAGGCATAGCTGTCTTATTGTGATTAGAGATCAAGCCGAGAGTTTTGTGCATACGAAAAGAGCAATCTATAATTTTGAAAAGAAGTTGCAATGGTTTTTCAAAGAAATCTTCGCCTACTTGCAGAAAAAATTATTTCTAAATTTTTAACACGTTGACGACCGCGCCATTTTCGGCGAAACTCCCACTAACGTCCTTCGCGCATTTGGCCCGTGCATACGCGCGGATGCACGAAAACATTATGTGGGAGTCTTTTTGACACTTATTAATAAAACATGCAAACTTTGTTCAGTCATACAGGTATATTACAGAGTCTTACCAGGACTCACACAAATCAAGGTTTTTGCATCGATTTTCCCTCCAAAAATCCATGCAATGGCTATATCTGAGGAATCGCTCTTCGAGAAAAGCGTTGTAAAACCAGATGTTTTTTGACTGATTCATCTTTGTTTGATTTCGGAACAGCTATACGTTTTCACCTCCTCGAGAAAACGTAATTAGCATGTATTGACTACATCAAAAACGTAATTTACCCAATTTTGCGGCCAAAACTTCTGAACAGCTGCCGCGAAGCCCTGTGTTCTGTAAGACAATCAGGCCACTAATAGTATTACTGCATAGAAGATACCTTAAAACTTTTCGCTTGCACCTAAAAAACTAGCGTGCATATGCGCGGATGCACGAAAATGCTAAACGGGAGTCAGGGCGTGCATACGTGCGGATACACAAGGTCGTTAACGTGTTAATTATATAGTGTTCCCTTCTTTGACGTGCATCAAATTCATAGACTCCGCTTGTCCATTGGAATGACTATTTTGCTCCTCCTTCTCCCCTGCTGCTTTTCTTTTTTCTTTTTTTTTAAAAACGCTAACAATTGCAGAAATATGACTGCGCTTTGGCTGCTCTTGCCGGAGCTCTTATACCCAAAGATTGCAGTAAACAAGCTCGTGACCTCTCTCCATTGGGAGTGAGCAGTAATTTCAGAAAGTATGTTTGAAACAAACGGGAGCAATTTTTTAGACGTTCACAAATGATTCTTTCAGGTTCCGTACCATCAAAGAAATTAAAGGGGATGATATAATCGAATATTATAACGTAACCGTTGAAGAATGGGCTACGAAGAATATCGTTCCGCTCGATTCTGATGTGGTCTACAAGGATAGAAGCATGGAAGCTTTTGCTAATGTGAGACATCCAATTTTACTTCATCAAGAAAATGAGCACGAGAGGTGGCGGTGATGTTTGAAGTCGTAGGTATACTTAACAAGACACGGCTATTTTATCGGTTTCTGCCGTTTCGGAGACCCACTGGTATCAACTTTCTCGTGTCTTTTTTTCGATTGCCGATGGGTCGTATGGTCCGAAAGGTGGTCTTCTAATTAGGCTTCCCATAGATGTCCAAACATGTGCGTACATCTGCTGTACTTCCATTGTAAAACTGCAGTGCCTAGTAGTACGAACCCAGAAACGGGTTGTATGTCCGAAATGGCACGTACGACCCACCGGTGGGTCGTATTGTCGTGAACGTGTTAAAGGCAGTGTTCGGGCAAAAGTCGATGTTTAGAAAATTCATTTATTGAAGGTTATCCGCAACGCTGAATCCGAAAATCCACATTAGAAGGCGCGAAAACGGCGAGAATATGCGTTTTTTAAAGCCTTACAATTTGAAATTCGACGATCCCCGCCAAGGCTGAAAGGCAGAGTCGCTGGGGACCTTACGATTCTGACTGTGGCGGCATGCGTACTCTGCCACTGACACTGCCTCTAAAAGACATTTCTATGTGATATTTCGGGGCAGAAAGGGGGGATATATCTAATATAGTTAGTCTAAAGGGATGGATGACTTGATAATAGTCAGATTTACCATTGTACCGATGCTGTACTAGCGTCATCCAAAAGCCGTGCCAACACCGCGACGACATCACATGGGTGCGTCCCTCGGGCATTCCGGCACGGCGCTAGCGCGGCAATGGAACCGAGCCGGAACGGCGCCAGCGCGGGCAGCCATGGATGCAGGCCAAGTGCTGTCAGGCGGCTAGTTTTTCCAGCGTAGCAATTTTTAATGAAATTGTAAATGGAGAATATTTGAGAGCCTCCGAAGATTTTTCTTCTAGAGTAATGAAAATTTCAGATGATATACTACAAATCTATAGCCTTTGGATGCATGCACAAGAGTTGCATAAATGAAGATAAAGATACTTCCTTTGCTATTGCATGTGTGTACGGATCAGCGTAAGTTATTTTCATCAAAAACCAGCACAAATGTGAAGATTAATTGTCTGCTACAGCTGCTGTTGTTTTCGCTTTTTTAGCCCAAAAATTGGTGAGCCGCTCTATATACCGAATCCGAAACCGAAAAATAAGAAAGGATGCACGGCACATAAAACTTGCAAAGAAGTGTATCCGACGGCAGATGCATGACAAATAAGGAAGGCCTAGGACCTCTATGTGAATCCAATCGTACCGAAGTAGACGGTAATTTCCATCACATGCTATTACTTCATTAGGATTTCATATCGCCCAAAATGTTGGGGCTCATAACGAATTCGTAGTCGACAAAGTACGAACGTTTATTTGTATTCTACATTACTTCTTTTTTGCACTGTAGATCCACACTAAATAGGCGATTTATTGCACGCAGGGATAGGACGTCGCTACACCATCGGCGTCTCCTTGATCAAGCGCTCTTTCACTCCTCGCACAGTCTGCTGTCTCTTTCATGCTCCCACTATCTAATTGTAAGTAGGACGCAATCGCGTCCACTCCTTGCGTGTGACAACTCACACTGACCAATTTTCACCCTCACACCTTTGTATGTTGATTTTTACTGTTTCGGAATCCACACAGTTTGACTATCTTGACTAAAAGATGCTGGTAAAGACCTACAGTGAAATCGCAACTTTTTTCTTACTGTAGGATCACGGTAAGGACTCCTAGCAAAATGGCGCCGTTGCGAACTGACTGCAATCTTAGCAAGGTTTCAAAATACTAACTTCTGTAATGGGTATTTAGAGGGGTGATTTTAGCCAATATGCGCAGGTTGCAAAGCAAATGGTGTGGTCAGGTTTTAAAGAAGGTTGAAAATTTTCTAGGTGCGCCTGGGCTAACTTGGAGCAAAGGTCTACGCTATCTTAATGCTCATCGAGATCAGCAACATCCATTTTTATGATAAAGTTTCAATCTTTCAGATTTTTGGGACGATGATCTTAAACCTTGCAAAAAGTTTTAGGATTTCCTACGGCAATCCTACAGTAAGGAACGATCAATAGTTCGCTCAAAGATATGCAAACCTAAATCGAAGCCAGCCGTAAAAAATTGTAGACGAAAATCGACGAGAGACATCTGGGCTAAAAAATCAGCGATCAAACATTGGGGACTCTTTTCGGGGCATCCTTTATTTTCAAATATTTCACATAATATCAATAAATTCATTATTTCAGTTGCAACAACATCGTCTACAGCCTCGACGCAATCTACGAGCACTACTCTGACTCCGACTACCACTACAACTACGACAACAACCACTTCAGCTACAGAAACTACGACAACAACCACTTCAACCACACCAACTACGACAACAACGACTTCAACTACACCAACTACGACAACAACCGCTCCAACCACTGGAATGACTCAAGAAATGCGAGACAAAGTTATTCAGATGATAAACTATCGCAGGTATGAGCATTAGAGCGCATTTGAAGACAAAGGTGGAGGGGGGATAGAGAGTTGAGCGAACCAACGACCTACAGCTGAGGATAGATCGCGATGTAAAAAAGTAAATTAAGCACGCTTCCATTTAGCGATATTTGCTAGGCAGTGCCGTATGCAGTTCTTGGACTGTTCGGATTTCCGCGCCGATGCTGTGCCAGCGCCGTTCCAGCGCCGTGTCGGGATATACGCCGTGCTAATCGATCGACGTTGCGGCCTAGCACTAACACGGCAACTTTGGAGATGCTTTCAAATGTCTTTCTTCCTTGTGCTATGGCTTCATCAATAGAGTTTTTATGATCAACTGAACATACTCCTTTGCGGGCATTCATTGTGAAATAACCACATTTTAGTTTTCTCTCAGAGTTTTCTCTCTCTTCATTCTGAGAAGTTTAATATTTTTTTAACCCAGGTCGCAATTGGCAAAGGGGCTCGTTAGAAATGGAATCGCAGGAAATCCAAATTGCGCCCAAGCTACAAATATGTATCAGATGGTGAGCGGCTGGATTTTGTAGACATAAAGGAATAGAGTAGACGAAAAGAATTGTCCAGTTACAAACTTTCTATCGTCGTAACATATACCGCACGGACTGGCCGTAAATTGCGGAGTTCCCGCGGCGCGCTTTAAAGTCACGGGAGCGCGACTTGCATAATAATTTGTAATGATATTTGACCATGCGACGCGTGCTCCGCAATCTACGACTAGTCCGCGAGGTCAACGACTCGAGAGTAAAAATTTCTGCAAACAATGAAACCTTTCAGAGATACGATATGACCTTAGAGGCAGAAGCGCAAGCGGTTGCTGACACTTGCCAGGACATCGAATCCGGGGTGGCAACAACTTCTGGTCAAAATGCTTACGTTATGTCAACTGTAACATTACCGCTATATGATGTGCTTGTGGAGGTGAGACAAACCGAGCAGAATCAATAACTTATATAGCTTTCAAGCATTCATTTTTAGACGCAAAAAGGTGGTGGTCACAAATAACTAAGAATGGAATAAATGCTCAAATGCACTATACACAGTTTCTGGAAACAAAACCGCTGTCTCCTAGCGCTTTCACTCAGGTACATATACTCATCTCATAAGAGAAAATATACAAAAAGCTATTTTCATGCACTATTGTGCCTCAGCAAATGTCCAGAAAACATATCGCTTTCAAAACCTACTTCTGGCGCCAATTTTGATTTCAAGGTTCAAAAATTGTTGAAAAGCAGGTCTTGGAAATTATGTGGATCGCTTAAGTAGCAAAAACTTCGTCGACTTCTTTTGTACGGTTAAAAAAAGTTGCTAAATTGAAGGTTACTGTCGAACGAAGGGGCAAGAGCAATAGTAGTTGAGCGGGGCGAAGGCGGCGCACGCGTATCTTCTCTTGGACTGTGACTTCATGCGCTTTGCGGAATAATGTTTTCACGCCCATAGGTTTTGCGCCTTCGTCCGGCACTACCCTATAGCTCCTTCGATGAAATGAATCAAATTTTTTTAAGTGATCAAGGTTTTTTCCACTGTATTTCATTGTATCGCAGATGGCCTGGGCTAGATCCTACAAAGTCGGTTGCGGTATAAAACGCTGCAGTTTCGGCACTAGTGTCGTCTGCCGCTATAGCCCACGGTAAGGATTATTTTGCACTAAATTTTTGAAATATACTGGAAGCTTCCTATTCTGCGTTTTTAAAGAGTTATAGTCATGACAGTGTAATTTATGTAAATTGTTATTTGATATGTACCTATTTTGCAGCGGCAACATCATCGGCGAGTACATCTACAACACTGGCAGTACCTGCGCTTCCTGCAGCTATTCATGCTCAGATGGACTTTGTCCAGCACCTGCGAATTAGAAGGCTTACAATTTTTGGCTATTGTAATAATATTTTATTGGAATAAAGTCTCAAAAGCAATTGGAATTATGAAAAAACTATGAAACTTGAATTCAAACCACCGCTTCTGATAGGATAACTCATAAACTGCCTAGCTGTCCTAGATTACCCAAAAACTGGTTTATGAAAGTGCAAGATGACTTGTCTGACGAAGTCAAAGAAGTCACTAAGGACGCTGAAGGCGTCTCGCTGATCGGGCCCTCTTTCACCCGTCTCGCTGTCTGCTGTCTCTCCCATGCGCGAACTATTTTGGTTGGACGCAATGGCGTCCAGTCTATGTGTGCGATGAATCGCCCATAAAGGCAGCATCCAGGCGAAATTTCGTCTCTCATGTTTCTGCCATTCTGGGACCTTTCCGTAGCCTTGATTACAGTTGTAAAGTCCAAATTGTTCAAAACCCCCAGAAAACCCGATTCTTGGGGCCTCTTCAAGGAGCGGACGAGTTTCGGATTGCTCGTCCCCGTCGTCATGCCAGCGAGAAGGCTGCAACTGCACGGATGCAGTTGCATTGCAATGTGCAGTGCAACTGAAATGCAACTGCAACTGCACATCTGCGTGAGCACTCGTCCTCGGGGTGGTTTGTGATACGTATCACAGACCCGTATCTTCTTTCAGAGGCAACGTCAAAGGATCGGATCAACACAGATCGGATACTCATGAGCCCCTCTTTACTACTATATGCTAACCTGAGTGGACGGATCTTGCCCGAACGCTGCCTATAAGAAGAGCAGGATAACTACATTCTGTTAGTTACAAACGAGGTGAGCAGTGGTGAGAACCATAAGTCAGTCATTACGAGAAAAGAGGATGGTGCGCTGAATCCGCTAACAAATGCAACGATGCTTTCGACACTTTGTTTTTGTTATATGTTCAAATAGTCACGAATGCAGCGTGAAGGGGCGCATTGTGCTGGCATATGAGTGTACAGGGCTTATCAAACGCAATGTCGCTTGCATCAGCATCTCCACTCCCGCGCTAGACTCTGCGTCTTTTCCTCGAACAAGCTTTCTGATCGCTTTCCCAGGGCGAGAGTGGCAAAGGCGGAGCCTCAATCGATTGGAAGTGATTAGAGAGCATGTTCGCGGAAGAGACGCAGAGTCCAGCGCGGGAGTGGAGATGCTGATGCAAGCGACACTGCATTTGATAAGCCCTGTAGATACTTCTCCTGGAGACATTTTTACTGCGACTGCGACAGAACACATCAAGGTTTTTGAGATCACCACGGTAACTTCGCTGGATAATATCTTTCCAAAACGAAGTTGACCTTTTTTAAAGTGATCCGAGCAAGGCTAGAGGATTTCAGTACCAAGCGAAAGTGGGTCCCTCGGACACGGAAGTGAGCAAGTGCGAGATGTCGCGTTTGACCAGAAGTAAGAATTAGGTTAGGAAGTTAACTCATCCCTGGAGAGAAGGCTCTCCCACCGGTGGATTCCCTGCCCTGCGGCAGAGTACCCATGCCCTTACGATCGAAGTCGTAGGCTTCCGCAACGAGTCTGTGTCTCTGTGTTAGCTGGAACTGTCCCACTGGTCGATATTCAAATTGTAGGGGTCTGCGAAAGCTTGTTGTAGCCTATCGTAACTCTGTAACTCTGCGTCATTGAATCGGCTCTAATCGTCTACCAACTTGATATCTTTTCGTAGAGCCGGTTTTTGGATAAACAAGGGAGGTCAAAACTCGGAGAACGCGGTTTTGCGCTAGTTTTAGACGAAGGCAGCTGCCCTAGTACGCGGGGCGCGGCTGTACGTGCTAGTGGTGGGATACTCGGATATTTAGGAGGACTATAGCCGAGAGGGGAGAGGATACCGAGTGAACATCCAACTAACACGCACCTCATATGTATGAACGCAAGAGGTGGCAATTGTTGCAGATGCCTCCATGGGACCTATACCCTCCCTATCCTGCTCGTACATGCCATTTGCACAAGCTTCGCTACCCAAACCAGCTGCCTTCGTCATGCACATTTACTCAAGCACAAGGTATAACATGAAGCCGCATTGCAAGGATGTTGTTTTGAGCGCGAATCTCAAACCGATTTGGGCGCGCATTTCAAATTGAGGCGCCATCGGGATCTTCTTTCCGAGGTCCTGAGACGAAAGCAGTTTGTCGATGGGAATGTCGAAAATTCATGCACATTTGTGTAGAGACCATATTCTGTTCTTTCCCTCGCTTCAAATAGCATAACATCATAGTTATTGGTAAACGCCAGCTTCAGCCTGTCAAGCACACTTGTGCATTGAGGGCTCGGGCCTTGAAATAGTTGTGAAGAGCTCTCTACTCTATTCTGGCATGAGTCTCATAAAAATGTATTCGAAACTAGATGGGCACTTTCGTTTATAGCGCATTCTCAATGATAGGAATGTGTTTTAGTGCGATGATACTTCGTTCGAGAAGAGTTCTTGGAATCAGGACAAGTGTTAAACCTGTCATATCTTTCAAGCCGCAGTTGCGCTCGCAATTTCCATTCTTCAAGCTTCCGCCCGAACTGTGCATCCGCATCCTAAGACACTTGTGGCAGGTTTGGATGTTTTTGCTTTGAAAGCGTAGATCACGCGCCCGCCCTTTAACGGTCTCGTTTTTATGAGGAGCGGCGCGCGCCTACTTGGTTAATTTGAGAGAATAGTATGGGACAATATGTCGCCAACACTTTACCGCGTGTGCAGCTGGCGGCAGTTAGAGCTATCTGTAGCCCAAGTAGTGGTCCCAAGCGAACATTTGCGACAAGGTACTCTACATACTACGGACGTCGCACATTTGTAGCAGCTATCCGCGGCGGAGGAGGGAGAGGAACAAGGATCTAACGGTAACATATAGTCCCCCTCACCGGTGGCACTGGTCGTGTTATAGTCCATCTCATCGGATGGCCGATGCGTTGGTTGGAAATCGCGCGCGCCAAGGGTTTACACTGCATGTGTGCGCGCAAAGCATAGTTCGAGACTGCAACTATAACAAGGCCTTGACGTAATGCAACATCTATCAGTGCATGTGCGTATCACGTTAGTTTTGATCTGATCCAGATAGAAAGAGGCTGAATAGAGGCGCGCATTTGTCGCAGATATCGAAGACCTCCCCCTTCGGGGACGTATTTTTTTCCCATCCCCACATACAGCATACATTGCACGTACAGTAAGCGTCGCTCAACAGAAACTTCTGATTTTATCATAATTTCAAGTACAGCAAATGAGCATCTCCTTATATCGTCCCCTCCACAGTTGCTGCTACCCTTAATCTGCGTCTCTGACTTGCGCCACGTATGGCACATGTTGACAATGTGCAATGACATGTTGGCAGAACATTTTGGCTATTATCCTCATCGCCAACATGTCCCTGCATGTTGCCCATATTGACCACTAGCTGGCTTACCCGGCTTCGCCGTATATTCCGAATTGAAAATTCCATTTCTTAACCGATCCACCAAACTTGGCACACATACACTACGGGCCTCGGCGGGTGTCACAGTCCACTTTTCGTTATCGATCGATGTCGATTTTATCGATCGATGACGAAAAGTAGCCTATGACACCCGCTGGGGCCCGAAGTGTATGTGTGCCAAGTTTGGTCCGGATCGGTTCAGAAATGGAATTTTCTATTCGGAACATACGTACACACATACAGACATACATACAAACAGACAGATAGACAGACATACAAACAGACATTCAGCTTTATATATAAGATGCGTGCCGCAGGTCAGAGACGCAGACCAAGGTTTTGCATAACTTGGAAGGGACGATACCCTCTTAACAGGGAGTGATAGGTGAGGCTGGACTCTGCATCTTTTTTGCGAGCTCTCTATTCACTAGTATTCTGCCGAAGCTCCGCCTTCCATCCGTCACTCCCAGTCAAACAGAGGGTGCACAAATCCCTGAAAAAAGTTAGTTTGTGTGTTTTGTCCACTTCACAGTTGCTGCTATCCTTGCTCGCGTGGGCACGTATAGCTGCACTTGAGTAGATTTTCTACTCAATGTATGTCCTTGCAGTGCCGAGAAAATGCTGTAAAACTCGCGCGTGAACAAATAGCCACTTCAGTAATGCCGGCATTTTTGTGCGCGCACTGACCGGCATTTCAGGCGTATTATTTGTTCACGCTAAATTTTGCCGCATTTTCCCAG